TTAACCAATAATTTAATATTGCCAGCAAATAAGAAACCATTTACCATACTGACTTTAATATTTATAATATAGTATCTTTCTATAATTTTAACTTAACTTCTAATGAAGTGTAGCAGTGACAGATTTTCAAGACAGGGTAGAGTTTATTGAAGATACCAAACTTTTGATAAAAGCATTGTGGTATTCTGTTTGCCTTGAGCTATACTAGAAATGTTTAATAAGGAATAATTCATCACAGCAGAAGACAGAAAATGATGTTCAGGTCAAGGAGAGTAGAGTTATGTATTACATTTCTAATAAAAAATTTAAGATACTCCTAACATAAAGTCTTAAACTCTATATGAATTAAGTTTGTGGATCTACACGTTGCCGAGTATAAAGTGTGTGTCTTTCAGGGAAATGTGTCCATGTCAAGAGAACTAAACAATAGCTGTAGGGTACCAAAGCTCTTTTTCTATTTAAAAATCATTAATTAATGAAACAGGTATTTATCAAAATCCTGTAACATGCCATCTATTCCTCTGGGTGCTAGAAATCCAATGAGCAAATGAGGCAGACAAACCTTACTCCCATGGAACTTAGATTCAAAACAGGATGATACAAGCACTAAACATGCATTTGTTAATAAACAGAATAATTTTAATTGTCATAAATGTTAGCAAGAAACTACTTCATGTGATCAATCTGTGAGGAGGAATTACTCTAAACAGGTAGCTGCATAAATTGGTGAATATAGAAGGCTGTGCTGAAGCACTCGCATCTGAACACAAACAAAAATGAGATGAATGATCCTGCCATGCCAGATCCAAAGAACTCCAGGCAGAGACAGGGAGCACAAATGCCCCAAGGTAGAAATAACATCACTGGATCCAAAAGATGAAATCAATGGAGAAGAGTGACTGGCAGCACAGAGGGTCGGTGTAGGACACTGTGAACATTGGTTAAAAAAAAAAAAGTAGATGCTTGTTCTATTGGACCCCAGAGCAGAGTTACATTATATGATTGTGTCTGAAAAGACCCCTCAGCTGATGCAGAGAGAATGGTGTGTTGGCTAGTCCACTTGATGCAAGTTAGAGTCATCTAAAATTGGGAGACTTCAATTAAGAAAATGCCTCAATAAAATTAGGCTGTAGGCAAGCCTATAGGGCATTTTCTTAATTAATGGTTGACTGGTAGAGGGCCCAGCCATTGTGGGTGCTGCTACCACTGGACTTGTGGTCCTGGGTTCTACAAGGAAATCAGGCTGAGAAGAAACCATTCTGAGCGAGGTAACCCAATCGCAAAAAGACAAACATGATATGTACTCACTCA